AAGGTTTTAGCGCAGAAAGAAGTATTAAAAACCTAAATGAAGATCAGTGGGATCACAGTGCAAATATCAATGAAGAGAGATGTTTAAAAATTATCATTATTTTTAAAATTCTTCTGTGTCCAGACATTTTTCTCTGTCCTCATTACGGACTTTCTTCTTGTGATATAACTGAAGACAGTGAATGTTGCTATTTTAAAAGAAAACATGTTGGAAAGCCTCTAAACAAATGCATATTCTTTTACCCAGAAACTTATCATTTCTGTGTGTTCACAATCCTGAGGAGACTTCATAATATTTTTTATTTAGTTTTAGTGTGCAGAGCTAATAGCCAGTCCATGTGCCTCTCAAGCTATTCCTTTTTGACACAGATCATGTCACTAGTAGCCATGTGTTCTGCATTTATACATACATATTAAAAAGTATCTCTATGCTTTTATTTGCAAAATTTGTAAAAATAACTAATATTGAAGACTTATTTTTATCTATGTAATTCTACATGTTAAGAAAATACCAATTTTAATAGCAGAAATTTCATTTATTTCACAGTATATTTTACTTTCTGGGTTTTTTTGGGAAATAAGAAACTTACACTTGAACTAGTCTTTTTCTGTTTTAACAAAAGGAAGTCTTTTTTTGTATTTCAGTAAATTCCCTGGGGTCTTATTCTCTTGTCTTTTCTTAATTACTGCAGGCATGTATTTGAATGTGGTAGTCATCGTACATTTCAAAAAAAATGACATTAGGTTATGAGAACAATTTTATAAATACCTTTGTGGTGCATTAGAGGCAACAGTGGGTGGTAATAATGACTTCTTTGTATGGCATTAGACATCACTTACATTTGGTGATGACACACTGCTATGCAATGTGGTACCCTAGAGAATCAACATCTCCTGATGATTCACCTTTAATTGCTGAACTTTATCCTTTCTTACTAGAACATCAAAATTTTCTTCAGTTGTGAAAGATATATAATACAATAAAAATAACAATAGTTTATTAAGTTATTATCTAATGAACCCTTTTCGAAAAGGCAGCCTATGGAAACCTTTGGAAAGTACATACTGTTCTAGTAACTCAAACCACAGGAAATACAAAGTAGGAGATAGAAATATTTTCCTATTTCTGAAAAAAGATGATGTGATATATGATGGGGAAAACACCAAACGCAACCAAAACCAACAAAACAACAAGCAACAACATTTTTTAATTATATATAAATGAGTTTCCTGAGGATGTAAGAAATTTTATCTGAGGCAGGAAAAAAGCACCCTGGAGACTAATCCAAAGCAGAAATTGACTAGCAAGGTTTATTATATAATCTTTATTTTTAAAAGTGGGCAAAATCAAAATGTTCAATTAAATAAGAGGAAACCATTAATTTTTAATATATTATTTTTCTCACCTCGATCTTGTCTCTTAAATTAAAATGATCCTGGCCTCAGCAAAGCTGTGTTAAATTGGTAAAATGCGAATTCAGAGTGTGTTCTAAAACCTATTTGTGTTCTGAGCCTCAGTCAATACAGTTTACTGGTGATGGTAGAATGCCATTTAATTAAGAAAGTTCATAGAGCATTTTGGTGCAACTTAAACAGTGACGATCTTGGTTCAAGTAACCAATTCACACAACAAAATACAACAGACATTAATGACTCAGAAATCACACTCTACTCTGAGACAGCAAATAGCTCACTCTGTACTAGGAAACACCATCTAGCTGTGGACAGAAGTTATAGTGCAACATATAAAAATCAATAGACTCGATTCACCTATGCCCTAAAGCATACCTTCATGATTTTCTGTAGTTATCTTTCTACCAAGCCTTTCTTTACGGCTGTCTTTGATCATATCTTTCTCTTTTCTCCTACTATATAATGTAACCAGTATTTGCTTAGCAGTTTATCAGAGATTGCCAGTTTAAATCTGAAGGCTTTCTTCTACAGCAAAAGATCCTAACAGAATTCATCTAATGTCTACACTGACAAACTACAAGTAACCTTTATGGGTATTAGGTCAGGTCCCACATCAGCAGAGCTGTCTAGAAAGGACTGCTAAATTGCAGCCAGTAGTCTGGAATGCATTGACTTCAAAAAATAGCTTTATTTCTTACTTTGAAGCACTATAAAAACTGCTGTCTCTCCATCTATAGCCTCTAACACTGATTTTGTGACAGTTCAGATCTCCTCAAACATTTAATGCCTTTTAAAAAAGTTGTACTGGAAGCAGACTAAAACACCAATTTAATCTCTTTAGTTAGAAATAAAACAAAACTTCAAATCCAGCATTTTAACAAAAATCATCACAAAAGTTTGAAACCCTGTTTTTCCTATGAACCAGGAAACACTAACCAGAGATAAATCACGAGTTTACAGCTTTGAAGTAAATATAGTCTTTTAGCTCATCTCCACAAATTATTTTACAAGGAATTTCATGGAATTCAGAAGGAAAAAAATATAAATGTAATGAGTTGTTCAAACTCTGATTGATCAGTGGCACTAACTGGTATTAGTAAAAATCAGAGAGTAACTCATCTTTAATACCGTATTTAATAACTTTTAAACAAACAAAGCTAGAGTTTCTAGAGTGGAGTGATTGGCTACCTTACCTAACCTGATGGAGGCTGAAGAACCAAAAAACAAAGGCAGAGAAATCCTCTCATAATTTCTAGATAAGTTGTAGAATTTGATGTTACAGAATGCTGTGGTATGTATGAGCTCCAGGGATGGCAGGAATGTTCATATAAAAGTCATCTGTTTTGTGACCATGAACACACAGATACTAGATCAGCTCAGAAGCTCCCTGATCTACAGAAAATCGAAGGTTGAATTAAACTCCCAGAGCAAGTCTGACCCTTTTCCAATACTATTCTATATATATGTAGCTTTGAACAATCCAGGACCCAATAGATGAGCATGAGGAACCTTTGGTCTGATTCATTATGAAAAATCTGCTAACAAATAATCCTTGAACAGTTGTGTCACCTATTTGGTTTCATCACTATAAAAAAATATTTAAACAATCTAATTAGTTTAGCAAAATGGATTCTTGGAAACAGCTGACATTTTTGCTTCTTCAGTCAGGAGGTAGATAAAGCACTAGCTTTTTTCATTTTAAAACCTAATAAAAAATATTTGATTTTAAAAATTTAGTCTGCCCTTCTGCTATTGTATACCAGTGCCACCTTAATTTCAATGTACAGGATAAATTTTTATTCACAATGGAGACATCTAATATTTCTTTTGACAATTTCACACCTTGATAAAAACAAGGATATTAATGCTAAATAAAAAAAGACCTGTACATACACCTACACCTACCCATACATAATAAGCATTGTACAGTTTCAGCGATGTGTTTTTCCACATCTGTTCATTATTTATATTTTACTTGTTCTCAGATTAATTATTCCATTTGAAAATTATATATATAGACAAACAATCTCAATTTGTAACAATGCAACTAGATTGAGGATTCTCAATCTTTTAAAATTTTCAGGCAACAAAATGTAGGGGTTCATTAAATTGATTTTTGTTTTCCTCTTCCTTTTGCTAGCAGTTCAGTTCACTTCAGTTGCAAGTTAAGCAAATGTTTTGCAGGGAATCACTTTAACTAACTGCAATAACCTTATACTTAAGTTTCTGCCTTCAAGTGTACATTATTTGTATCCTGAAGGTCTTCAGGGATATCTACAACAAGTCACTTGTAGTCAGGTAGAAATTATTTCTGTCTTTCTCAGTGGGATGCCCTGGTCCCAGTGCTGACCCCTCAGAGAGGTGGTTCAGCCTCACCGTGGCCCGGGCTGGGTGTCCCTGGTTTCACCACTGCCCTGGGACCAGCGGCTGCTGCCTGCCCTGCTCCAGCTTCAGCTCGGGAGGTTGTCCCCCTCCAGCAATCACCGCCTGAAAAACCATCCCCTTTTGTGGACCTGGGGCATGAGAAAAGGTGTCATCCTGGGAAGGGGTGTTTTATGCAGCAGTTTCTTCTGTTTTGTTAGTGAGGCTTTCCTGTGCAACACACATACAATTCCCTCCTCTGCAGCCTGTGCCATACAGTTCACTATCTAAATTAGTCAACACTTGATATGATTAGCTCAGGGATTTTTCTGCTGAAATAATGGAATAGAAAAGAATAGTTTCAATACATTTAATATTGAAGTAGAAAGCCTTGGCTTTGACAGAAATAATTGTGCCACTTTGTGTTTGGTTCATGCAAAGATCTTCAAAGAATGATGAACAGCCAAATATGTGACCTCATGACAATCTGCTTAATTAGAATAAATTAGGAGAAAATATTGTTTTAGCAGAAGAAAATCACAGGAGTTGTCTTTAACAAGATACTTAATTATATACATCAAGGGGAATTGCTTAAGGGACATATTTTTCTTCATCTATGTAACTCATTTAACATATTTCCATCTTTGTGTGACTGGGGAGATACATCAAACTGGATAAATTAGATCTAATTTCAGCACCCATATAAGCTTTGTAAAAGTTCCAACCAATCAGGAAAGATTAAATCCCAAAGCTGATTCTGACTTTAATAAAAATTACATTTTTTACTTTTGATGAGTGACTAAATTCAGGTATAATATCTTAATGACACACTGAAAAGAAAAATTGCCATTGTTTTCCAGTTCAACTAGATGTTTAGCATTATGAATAATAATATAGATTTGAAAAACAAAATGTAACCAAGAAGAATGAAAGAACTTTATTTTATTGTTAGGATTTTTTTTCCTTTAAATCACATGACAAAAAATTTTAATTTAGGAGATAAAGCATAAATTGTGTCTAATATTTTGTTTAAAAAAGTTACATTACAGTACAAATAACAGAAGAACTTAATCTACCCTGAGGACTGTATAAATTATCTACCTAAACACATAGAGATTGAAACATTGTCACATGTACATGTACTCACATACACAGGAATACACAGACTATAAATAAAAAAATAAACCAAAAAATATGCAACAAAAAATAGAGAAGATAAATCCTTACCTATAGCATTATTAGTATGTATTCCAATATTTCATGGTACCCTCTCCTTCTATTATCTGAGACAACAAATGATGAGCAGAAGCTGTCAAAAGAAAGTGAACTATCAGAAATATTCAGCTTCCACATATCAGTCCTGAGAAGTATTAAATGCTTGAGTACTGAAAGGATTGATGCTCATGATTTTGTTATAATTCAGTTTACATAGGAATATTTCATCATGATACCGTCTTGTATTTTAAATCAGAAAAATTCAGAAAAAGACTGGAGAACTGCTTTCATAGTAGTTTCAGAGTCACAAATGTTTAAAGCAATTTTATAAAGCTATCTTATCCTTCATCCAATGTAGACAGCATACTGCAAACTGTGGTCTTGACTCAGACTTAAAATATCAAGCTTAAAAAGTCACCAAAGTAAGAAAAAAAAGTTAGAATATGTATTGTTTCTTAAAGGATTATACCTTTAAGCTAATTTTCATGACTGACGGCCTTTTCCTGCCCTAAACTAAGTCATCAGCTAGAACTTTTTATGAAAGAGCTCACAAAATAAAGATACAAGTTAGATTTCTTTTTAAAGTGATTTCTTTTGATATAATGTCTTTTTTTTCCTTTTCCTTATCAGCTTCCAATCTAATTCTCATGCTTAGAAGTATTTGGATGTCCTCCCAGCTTGATCACATAATTTTAAATTTTCTTTATTTTAATTTGTTTCACATTTAAATTGTGCTCTGATGAGTACATTCCATCTGCTTACTGAGCAACTGACAAATAGCTTGCAAATTAATGACCTCAAGCTGTAAGGAACCTCTTTCTCTTGAGTTCAAAACTCACATGAACTTAATGTTGAAGTTCCTGACATTTTTGAGGGTCTGAAATGCCATTAGTGAACTACATAATGAAGCACATTTGGAAGTGATTTTAGTGGAAAATTGTGTAATAAGATGTCCTTGTAAGAAGATTGTAATTTTTCTTTTAATGTTGCCATTGCATTTTTTTTCCCAGAAAACTGTATATGACTTTAAGCTATTTTTATATCTTCTCTTCACATAATACCTCTTGGTAGGTAAAGCTACATAGGTCTTTACATTAATGGGTTGACCACTAACAAATCAACATCATTTCTTAATCTCATTAGGAAAATTTAATCAAGTGATATAGAATATTTTCTTTATATCTTGTTTTCAAATTCTTATCATAAATAATAATTTATAACTCAGATAATAGATGCTATTTTTTTTCAGAAACCAGATTAAAACAAGGGGACTTTTATCCCCTTGATGGTATGTATATTGATTAGGTTATATTGGGACACACTGGCACTAGAGTTCTGGAATAGGTAAATATAGCATAAGACCTTTTTAGAGAAAATACACTGTTTTGTAGCAATTAGAGATATAAAAGGAACAGTAGAGTCTCTCAAATATCTTAAACAACTTACATTTAGATTACTGAATCCTGATTTTGGTCAACACAGCTCATTGCCGTAAACTAGAACTGTGCCATGGTAGCAATGAGGGGCATCACAAGTTAATTACAATACATTGTTGCACGAAGAACAACAAATGTCCCAACTCTATCTACAAACCGCAATTTATTTTTCATTCTAGCAGGGTCTTGGAATTCACAGAGTTGATTTTTGGTGAAACTACAGTGAAAGGTTTATTTCAGGAGTATATGTAAGATATTTAGACTGCTAAGGGCTTTTTCTGGCCATGGTAATTGAAAAGGTTCTAGGCAAAGCAAATATGCTTTACAATTAAAATATTAGGGTTGAAGGAATACAAGTAAAGTTCCCACAACATGTCATCTGAGCTTCACCTTGACTAAACTGCCATTAAAGATTGTGTGATTTTAAATACTTTGCCCTCATACACATACCTCAATTGAGATATCAATCTTGAATTTAAACCAATTAAAAAAAAAAAAGTATGTGAAAAATAAGAAAAATAACACAATAATCAACTAGTCATCTTGAATAATTACTCTATTTTCAAATGTTCTAATCTGAACAGCCTCAGGGTTTCATATGATCACTCATCCCAAAACAGTTAAGATCTTCATTTTCCACAGATGCACTGGGGAACTCTTTTAGACTCATCTCTCTTCTATTGGAACTATTATCCAGGAAATCTCTGTAACTATAAAATTGAGAAATGTTCTTGGGCCTATGACAGCAAACATCAAGTGAGGAAAATTTTACACTATGCTACAAGTGTTCTGCAATGTTCTGAGTACTTAAAAAAAAAAGTAATTTAGCTTCTAGTCACATTACAGTATCTGAATCAAAAGCACTTTAATCAATTATACTTCTCAGAGCTTTCTTCTAAAATACAAAAGTACATATTAATCTTGTTAAATTATCACGACAAATTTAAATCATCTCTCCAGTTCTATTCCTTTTTTTCTCCTGATAAAAGCAACTCATTTAACACAACTCTCCTATTAATGCAATTTGCTTATATAAACATTCTGCTTTTTTTTTTTGAAACTATGGTTCTGATAGCTGAAGCCTTCTCTAGGAGTTTCATAAATTTGCTTATGAAGCAGGTTATCTTTGTACTTTACCTCTGAAAAACCTATAGTGTGTTTCCAGTTAGTTGCGATGTTTACTTACATTGTCTCAATTTTAATGTTTGTGTTTATAAATCTCATGAAACTGAAAACCCTTAAAAATGGATTTTGACTTTCCATGAGCTGAGGAATCTTGTACTCACAAAATCTGCAAAGGCAGAAATGTTTTTAGCACCGTAGTCTGTCCCATTCACTCTAGAATTGCTTAAATTTCATATGAACAAGCTAAATGTAGGAAGATGGAATGAGTCTGGATAAAAATGTAATTTTAGAGCGTAATTTTCTTTATTTTTAAAGAAAAAGGACACAAAATTCCATGAGGCTATGAGATGGTAATTGCAGGTACATCTACTGCTCTCAAAGCACAGTGGCAAAAGGCAGGGCTTGTATGAAAGAAGACAAGAAAGTTAGCTTTATTGTGAAATATTTTTATATACATTGATACACTGAATAAGAAAAGTAATAAAATTGTTGCTTTGTTTAATTTTAAAATAACTTCTTTGCATAGGAGACATTCCTTATTCAACATTTCTTCTTCGTCCCAGGAGCACATAAAGTAATGTCATGATAATTGTAATTTTCACAATCTATTATTTTGCTTTGTCAAATATTTGTCAAACCTTAAATATGTGTTATAAATTTAACTCAAACATTAAAAGATTCAATCATTAAAAAAAAAAAAAGAAAGAAGGTGAGGTTCTTTCATGAAATCCTCACAGGCCAAGTCAAGAATTTTGGTGCAGATTAATGGACAGTGGGATGGATTGAGAACTGGTTGAGGTCGTGGAGTCTTCCTCCCTGGAGATATTCAAGAACTATCTGGAAACAATCCTGTGCCATGTGTTCTAGGATGACCCTACTTGAGCAGGGAGGTTGGAGAGCTTGACCCACTGCAGTCCCTTACATCCTGATCCCTTCTGTGATTCTCTGATTCTGTGATACAGGAAAATAAACAAAACATAATTCTACTAAGTGCATTGGAGCTGGGGATGCAGATTCATAGCATAGTAGGACTACTTTCTATGAGGTAGGAATAATTAATAATTTAGTAATTTATTTGAATTACTCATACATCCCCAAAGATAAAGACATCCTGGTTTGAGATTTATACCTCATAAGACTTGAATAATATCTTCTTTTCCACTGTCTTGGAATTTAAAATTATCAGTTACAGTTGGTATGGTTTATTACCTGAATATTTTTAAAAATTAATAAAAATAATACAAATTTTTAAAGTAATATTTTTTTCAAGTGTCTTATAATTTGTTTTCCTCTTGGATACATAATTTTTTCAAAGCTCTGTTCATGTTTTGTACCCCTGATATATACTCTGTTGAATTTCTCCATGCTATTTCAACTGCTGCAATAAGTAGAAAATAGTTGCTCTTAGCAGACTGGAACACAATATTCTGATTCTTATCAAAAGACTGTAATCTTACTTGAGAAGTATTATGCTGCCACTTTGTTTCATTGTTTCATTGTCTTAGTCTTCCTCCTTCACAGTTTTCACATTTAATATAAGTCACCTCAAATAAACTTAACAATAGTATAAAATCTGACTTATAGAAGAATAAAAATGTGGGTGTTTGAGCAGTGGTTGCTGCTGCCTATAACCTGTCTCCCACAAGCCTTTCCTGTAGAAAAGCAAGTTGAGATAACCTTCAGGCCACACAGTCAGACCCTCACTCAACACTCACTGCAGCTGGCTCAGCAATAGAGGCAAAAAAGGCTCTTTTTGCAGGGTTTTATTCCAGCAGAAGATTTCACATGTGGCTGAAGGGAACCCAGCAAGGCAAAAGAGGCCAAGACATAGAGGAGACAGCTTAAGAAGGGGAAGGAGTGGGGGGCAGAGCTAAGGGCTGGGCAGAGGGGTTTGGTCTCCAGCGAAACGGGGCAGCCACCAGGGATACCAATCCAGCGAGGGGACAGGGAAAGGAGAAACCAGGGGAAGTTAAACAGGGGAAGTTGACACAGAAGTTCGTTTGGGAGTCTGCTTTTCCCCCAAGGGAGGACTGACTCTATGGACGTAGTTACTGCCCTTGCCAGGGCCTAGGACTTGGGAATTGACCAAGGTGGGAGAGTTCATGGGATGCTACATAAGAATATATAAGGAGCCCAGGACTCCATGTTGATTTGAAGAATTAGCATTCTAATATAATTCACTTTGTTTCTAATGTATTCTCCTTTTTTAGCTTCACACAGTGCATATCTTATATTACCACGTTAATATTTATCAGTGTTACAAATATGCTGATATTATAAAACCCCCCATCTTCTGTCTCTACTGCAAGGTAAAATGAAGAGATGCTTTTGCAAAATGGTCATTGCTGAAACAGGCATAATCAATGATTTATCATAGAATAATTTGGGTTGGAGGGGACCTTAAAGGTCATCTAGTTCCAACCCCCCATCATGGATAGGGATACCTCCCACTGGACCAGCTTGCTCAATGCCCCATGCAACCCGACCTTGAACACATTCCAGTGAAGTTCTTCCCAATATCTAGTCTAAATCT